TGAGAAGTCGGCCGTTCGGTCCACCCACAGGCACCAGACGGGCTTCTCCTCACTCGAGGGCGATCTCCCTCCAGGAGAACCAGTGCTGACCTGGAACTGAAGCGCAGCTCCACTCTCACACACGTGGGTCAGGACTGACTCGACGGTAGTTGGTTTTCTTTTATTAGAAAACAGAGAGGCAGGTGATTGAGTGTGACTTCGTGGTTGACTCGGTGTGGTGTGGAAGCCAGAGAACCTTGGACTTGGACTGTCCTTTCGCTGCCTTTGGGAGGCCACCTGCACACACCCCGAGACCTGGCTGGCATTTGTTGGTGTGGAAGTCAGCACTCTGTCACTCCCCGCTTGCTGCGGGACGGGCAGCAGGGTCACACGAGTCTTTCCCTGCAGGGCAGAAGGTGGAGACATACATGCCACCCTTCCTGAGAGCGGCTTGAGCAACCGAATCAAAGCCCTGTTTGAACACGCGGTCCGGACTGACGGGGGTGCCCAGTGCCCCTTGCTGTGGAGGATGTACTTGAGTTTCTTGGTAAGAAATACACAGACTTTGTGTTTTCACCAACCTCTGCTCCCGCTTTCCTGCACCCGGGAGGGCACAGGTTTCCAGTACTGCTGGCAGGGGCAGCTGGGCGGCGCTTCCTCCCTTACGCCATCTTGCGTTGGCTAATCCTTACAGGAACCCCGAGGGGATCATGTCAGGGGGATCATGGGGCTTGGGAAGGGGTCAGATGAGATTACAGAGTCATCACTGGGCTTATTGGTGCAGCAGAACTGAACGGGGGCTTCTCTCAGTTGCTGTCGTCAAGTCAGCGAGTTGGAAAAAGTTCCGAGAACGTCCCTGTAGAAGGGCCCTGCCGCCTTCGCCAGTTTGCGCATAAGAATGTCTTGATTCTTATTCCAGTTATTAAAAGAGTCGGTCTAGGATGTGTTTTTTAAAATAGACATTTCCAAAACCTCTTTGTGTCCACATAAAAGTGCTGTAGGGGTGACTTTGGTGCGACACCGCGTCGTGTGAATGTGCAGACAGGAAGGTGCTGCCCACGCTGCCTGACATCTTTGGATTGGCTTTGCCCCTGAGGGAAAAGGCCCGGCCCCTGGGCTAGGCTACATTTCCCACATCTCCTGCCAGGCTGCCTGGGGTTATAGAAACCGTCTCTGGGCTGCCCACGTGTTACTCTAGCTTATGGCTGCTAAGTCACATCCAGGGGACCTCCAGTGAATACCACACCTCCCAGAAGGCACACATGACTGTTTTTCTACATAAACCTTCCACAGGATATGTCCTGCAACTTGGTCAAAGCGTTTGAACATTTCTGTCTGGGATGTGACAGACTTGGGGTAAAGAGACAGTCGCTTAGGGGTTATGAGAGGGCAGGCCTCTCCCTGTTAACTCTCAGATTCCAGGATTCATCTGGGATTGTGGCCCGGCCTCTGGCAGGCAAGTGTGGAGGCCAGCCTAAGGAACAGGCCATCACACATGTCTCATCACACATCAGGAACAATGTGTTCTCGGGGCCAGAGGTTGTCATAGAAGATGTGTGCTTTCCTAACGGCCATTCTTAGACCCCAAAGCCAAGATTTTACAGTTTGATTTCCTGTATGAAATGTAGACCTTAAGAAGTTCACGTCACCTCAGGGTCCGCGGGGCTTCCATGGCCCTTACATAGCTGAGTAGGGGCGGCAGCTTGGTGCAGTGGAGTTGGAGAACTGGGGTCTGCTCGGATCTGCTCTCCTGCCTGTTAGGCCAAGGAGGCCTGTGTAGCACAGATGGTCAAGCCCTCGACCACTGGCCAAAAGGTTGGCGGTTTGAACCCACCCAGAAGCACCTTGGAAGACAGGCCTGGTGATCTGCTTCCGAAGGGCCCAGCGTTGCAAACCCTGTGGGGCAGTTTGCCTGTGCACACGTGTGGTGGCCAGGACTCAGAATCAACTGAGAAGAACCACGTCAGTCAGCAGGGGCAGGGTAGATGCTTCCTAATGCCATTCCCAGCCCTAGTCTGAGCCTCCTGGGCAAATGAGAGAGCTTTGCGTTTAAAAAGGCAGGGCTTGCACGTCCCCCTTTGACTTCTCCAGTCTCCCGCAGGTAGAGTGAGGGTGAGGTGCAAACTTAATCCTTGTTTTTTTTAATGAGAATCTGCTACAAGCCAAGATTGGTGGACTGTAAACAGAAAAAGACTTGTTGACTTGAACAAAAAGATCTGGGCCCTTTGAGGTATTTCTGTCTTTTTGGAATGTCAGCGTTGGAACCAGGGATTAATGAGAGTAGTGACTTCCCCTTGCAGCTCCAGAGGAGCCTTGGCAGTTTGAGGATCACAGTGAAAAACTCCCATTACGGCTGCCGTGCAAGGGCTTGGCAGCAAGTGGCAGGAGAGGGCAGGAGCGGAGAGCTGGGGACCGCCCAGCTGTGGGGACTAGGCTGCTGGAGGAGTGTGGCCAGCTGGCTGGGTGCCTGCGCCCCTGCACCTCTGTGCATGTGTGCACCACACACGCGGGCATTTCCCTGCACAGCAGTGACCAAAGGAATTGAAGTTTCTTGATGGCTGTGGAGAATACGCAGGAAGAAGAATCGGACCCAACAGCAGTTACAGTTTTCCCGAAGGTCGGAAACTTTAACTCGCCAGGTTAAACCTTTGTAAAGAGACAGGCAGAGCACCATTGGGCACACACACCAACGCTTGCAACTAGACTCTTTTGGTGGCACTAAACATTACAAGATGGACAATCTACTTCTGTAGTGATACTGCCTCGGAAACCCAGGGAGGGGTCGCTATGAGTTGGGTCCGACTTGACGGCACATAACAACAACAACAACATTAAACTGGGAGCTCTGGTGGCACAGTGTCTAAGGCATTGGACTGCTAACCA